AAAGCTAGAGAAATTATCTAGCAAACAGTTGAAATGCTAAGATAGAAGAAACTCACAATAAGCCAATTAGCATATATCAATAATATATGTATTATCCCAAAACTACAGCCAGGGAATATAGCAAATTTGAAGATCGGTTTTAAAATGCATCTAGAATGATCTTCAAAAATTCTCTGCACTATGATTAGATAATAATAATTACTACTACTGCTAACTAAATCTAGAATTTAGAGTATTCATAGTATCAAACCTTGCCAAGTTGATATTCAAAAGAAAGTCGAAAACCTCTAGTTACATAATCAGTCATTATTTTTCGGTAATCAATCTTTTTTAAAAAGGTAAATGAGACCCGAAATAATGAAGAATATTACATTAAAATTTTATTACAACATATTAATTTTTACTTTTTTTTTTATTAAAATGCTTGTATAAAAGCTCTACAATGATGTCACATCTTTTATCAGCCATAGAGAAGCCAAGAGCCAAAGATCTTTCTTGTGTGTTTAGCTTAATAGCTAATAAGTATAGTAGACTTGGCTTAAGACCCTGTGAAATGAAGGAATTACAAACCTGAAGACATGCTAATACACCAACTACTACTAATTGGCTTAAATCATATATGAATTATATGTCTGAACTTAAACTTTATTTGTATCTGCACTTAATTTGTGAAAAACATTATAATCAAGTAATTTCTACTAATCATTTTTATAATTATCTTTTAGGTAATCCTGCTTTTAAAAATAAGAGAGCTCGATCTGATACAAGCTCTGATGATGCTAATATTTGTGAAGAAATTAATGAATTGTATACAGAAGCAATGCATATGGAAAGTTATATGCACACAATTGCAGCATTGGAGCAACAATTGCAAAAACAAGAAAATAGAGAGCTTATTATGATCACGGAATTTTAACAGAATATCGAAGACCAAGAGCGAATAATATTAGAATTAAGGAGGCAGTTAGAAGAGTGCAATGAAGTTATAGCTCATTTAAAGAGTTTATTTAGTGGTGAACTTGATAAGAATAAGAAACTGGTCGAGCAATAGAACTCTCAATACTCTGATCAAGATAAGCACATACAAGCAGTCACCGATATTGCACTAATTGAATGAAATTTTTTATATAGAGATGTCAAAGCTTTGATTAGGGATAACAATAGATTTTCTTTGGAAAATCTATTAAACTATACCCCTCATTTATAGCTAAGTAGACACAATCAAGTTCTTGTAAAATTTATTGAAATATTAACCCATAATAATCTTAATACAGGGGTTGAAAGTGCTAAAAAGGTTTATAAAAGAGTTATGGCCATCAATTCTGTATATGGATCCAGATACAGAAAATATGTATCGGAAATGAGCCTTGTAGCATCAGCTATAAAATATTCTATTGCAAGATCAAAAACTATTATCAATATTGATAATCATATTACAAGCTCAGGAAGTTATTTCCGTTTTCAAACTTGGTTAAACAAATTATCTAATAAAGAAGAAGCACTACCAGAAGGTCTCCTATTTTTAACATTCGACAATGAACAAAGAGAACAAAGAAATTATCTTAACCAAGGACTCAACACAGTGATATTTCATACTGTTACTAGTTTTGTTACCTTCAACATGAATTCGCAAAATTATATTCAACATACTAATAGTGCATCTTGGGTATTTAATTCTCTTGATAGGTCCCAATACGAAAGCTTTTTCGATATTACATTTGAAATGCAAGAAGTTATAGATAAAAAATTGCATATTTATCTTTTTGAAGTTTTTAGTTTATTTTGTAAAGAAAAATTAACTACAACCAATAAGATTGATTCTTTTGCATCTATATTCGTTGCAGCAAACAATATCCTAACTGTAAAAAAAAAGATATCGACAATAAAAGACAAGTTTGTCCAGAATACAAGTTTTGTCTATCTACATTGTCAGAAATGTCAAAGCAATGTGTGGAAGTAGAAGCAGAGGAGGATATAGCCAAACAGTTATTTACCTTTAAACTATATAATACCGAAAAAGAGACTTGACTATCTAACACATCAAGAATTAGTGTGACTCAAAAAATGCGTGTTAATGAAGGGGTTAACCTTCCAGAAATTTTTATACCTGATCCTTTTGATGTTAATCCTAACACAACTGAAAATATTGAAAAAATTTTTACTAATATCGAAAAAATTTCAGGGATTAAAGATAAAATACATAAATGGGTGGTTGTAATATACAACAGCATTTCATATCATTGGGCAGCAAAAATTAAAAAAAAATACCCATGGCTAATTCTCATTCCTAGGCAATTGCATGAAGAAATGAACATGCTTCGAGCCTTTGTGGAATTAAATTGGTAAACTTATCTTGTCTTAAATATTTTATTTTCTATTTGTTAACTTTTAATTATCTAATAGAGATATCGAACTCAAGCAATTTGCAATATGCCAGGGATATAAAACTGAAAATCAACTTTCCTACTTTAAGAAATACCATGACCATCATAAATCTTGAGATTCAATTTGCAATATTTATCGCCAAGCTATGGCCATAGAATTGCTATGGCTGTATGTTAAGTATTATTCTAATCCATCAGTAGAAGAATACTTGGCCTGGGTAAAAGAACAAACAGATCCATGTTATCAAATGAAATTTGAGCAAGTAGAACTTTTAATTTATTTTTAATGATTTATTTATTGGGTTTGTTATAAAAAATTATATACTTTTTAAATTTTGACTATTATCCTAATAAGTAATAATGTATAACAGCTTGAATCAGATTCTAATAACCTTGAGTTAATTAGAATAACCAAATTCATTTATTGTCAAAATCACATTTTGCTGCCTTGTAACTAACAGATTTACAAGGCAAGATAACTCTAAATTTATTAATACAATATAGATTCGATTAGTGCTTTAGAAAGTTAAACAAAAGTAAGTTTGAATTTTGAATCGATTAAGCGATATAAAATACTATACTAATATATATTTTTTATTTGATATAACAGATTTACAGGGTAAAGTTAGCTTTAAGCCTAAATTTCTACGTGAGAAAGGGGTTGGACTTATTTATGAGAAAACTGAGGAAGTTTATTAATATAGTACAGATTTGATAAGTGTTTTAGAAAGTTAAGCGAAAGTAAGTTTAAAATTTTAAATCAATTAAATAATATAAGATACTATACTAATATATATTTTTTATTTGATATTATGTAATTATTATAAAACTAAGAATTAATTTTCAATTATTACTGTATGGATTTTCACTATCAAATTATTGTATTCAAGAAATATAATTTAAATTAACCAGATTGATTAGAATCTGATTCTTTCTTAAATAGCTAAAGTTATAATTATAATTCTTTTAATACTAATTGATTATTTATTTTAAATAGACCTTTGTTTATCTACAGGCCATCGTTAATTATAGAAAAGCTATCAGGGAAAATAATCCATTATTAAAAAGTGCTGCAAGGAGAGTCTTTTCTCCAGTATGGTCTGCACAATATCATCCAATATATCATTATATAGAAGTCGTAGACGAAGTGCAACTGCTACAACTTGATCCGGCTATATGAGATGTTATAGAGAAGAATTGTGTAATTTCACGGTCAGGGCTTTTTAACCAGTACCAAGAATTAGATACAGTTTTGGAAGAGATAAATAAATCTTTGAAAGCATTAATACCTCCTGTTCTACAAATGTAGCATTGGAGAATTGCCGCACGAAATTGTAAAAAATATTTGCAGATATTCAATTGCTGTATAAATTAATTTATTTACTAAAAGTTTTTTAAAGCTAAATCAAAATTATTATAAATTTAGCTGCGAAATAATTTTTTCCAATCAATTGAATATAATGAAGTTCAAATAAGTGGTCTGAGAGTTAAACCAGAAGCAGTTGCAGAATGTGAGAGATTTCAAGCTTATTTAAGAAAAGAAAATTTTGTTAATCTAATGGTAGATTCTGGAACTACTTTTAAAAACTTAGGAGGAGAATATGAATTAAGTGCACAATTGATAGAGTTCACTAATTTAGCTAAACAGGCTCAGAAAGAATATATTACTGAAGTTTTTTATAAAAATAACTCCATTCTTTATTTAGGTCTATTCCAATTACCAAAGAAGAAGCGATTAAGCTAATGAGTGATACAAGTATGACTAATGCAGAAATCGTATATAAAATTGAAACACTTCTTGAAAAGACAAGTGATAGTATTCAAAAAAAGTATCGTGAAATAAAGTTCAAGAGGTGTAATGAATTGCTGGTCATATTAGAAGAGATAAGATCATTATTTAATTCTAATAATGAGCTCAATAATTATGAATTCACTAAAAATTTAGAAATGCAACCACATGATGAAATAGAACATACTAATCAGAATTGAGATTTTGTAGTGCTTTATTTATTGTGATGGATTAAAATGAAATTGGATTAAAATGAAATATTGTACAATGTAAAAAAATAGACAAGCCACCAAAAAATAAAAATTTTTAAGTGTATTTTTTAGGGCTAGGGGTTAGGGTAAGATGTTAGTTTTAGAGCAGAGATTATAATAAACAAGTATAAGTAGATTTTAAAGAATTAAATAGAAACCTTCATTTATTTTAATCTGATTTCATTATAATCCGTGACAATTATTAATTGGTTTGGATTTAAATAAATATATAATTTTTTCTTTTTGTCATTATTTATGTTATTCAAAAAATTCGAAGTACAATATAATACAGTTCTAAATTAAGACATTTGTTAACAACTTCAATGAATCAATTCTGAATTTTAAATAAATATAATATTTATTATTTAAAATATTTAAAATATACAATTTTAATTTTTTTTTTTTGATGAATGAACCGTCTATGAATAAATAAAGCCCATTTAACTCAAATGATCCTATTTAAGTAAACTTTTCAGGTTTTGCCCACATGCAAATTAATCATATCTTACGCAAAATGAATATTTATCATAAGGTTATCTCATATCTTGTGTAATATTACACAGAAATATAATATATATGCTGGGTTTATCATGCGAGAGGCATATCTCTAATTATATTACAGCATTTGGTGAACTTGGTCTGCGAATACAGGAAATAAAAATAAGTATTCTGATTGCCCCCGATCTAAAGACTATTCGTTTAGAAAAGGTATTATATAATAAAATGAGCTCTGTATGTCACTAACTCTGATTATTATGAAATTTTGGTACTGTAGTAAGTTGAGTAAGCAAGAATTTCAAATTTTGAATACAAGTAATATGTATACTGATATAAGTTCATTATGATATTTCTAGAATCATGTGATCAATATACCTATTATTATTAAAAGTGCGATCTGCATTACCCAAATTTGGTATATTCCTTGACTGAACTATGCTACTTACTGCAACTATCAAGAGTATTCAAAAAATTAATAGACAAAATCCATTAACCAATGCTAAGATTAGCAAAAAATAAATTAGACTTGCAAATTACAATGCCAAACTATATAGTCATACACAAAAATATAGGCAACTTTAGAAAACTAAGTTCAGAATTACTAAACAAGCAGGTCATAAGTTTGCATAACAGACTGAATAATAAAGGAATAATTAGCAAGATTACCAAGCTACGTATTTGGCAGGGATATAGAATAGCCAACCTAACAGAAAACTTTGATGATCAAGAAGAGCATATAGATCTTGAAAAGCTCTGAAAGTATAATCAGGCAATGTTGACTTTAGTAAAAGGAGCAAAGAGTCAGATAACAATTAGACCAATGCAAGAGAGTTGGAGTATTAAGAATAGAGGCAGAATAGTATATAGTATACTAGAAAAAGAAATGTTTATTTAGTGTACAAAGGTCTTTGATGCATTAAATCTAATATTTATTAAACAGCTCTTGAATATATAGGGGAACCAGATAATCACGTGGTCTTATCTCAAACAAACAAAAAACAGATTAAGTAGAAGAAAAGTTCTTATCTGGTTTAGATGTATTGAAGATCATTTAATAACAAATCATGATACAAGAAAAATAATGTGTGATTTCTAACAGATAGTACAAATAAACTTGCACTTATAGTCCAAAAGACAAAGATCTTAAAAGATAAGTGAAAGCGTGACTAGATACTAGTAAACGATAAAGAAAATAAACCAGATATATGTAGAATAATTAGAAAAACGAAGAAGAAGATACAAGTAGAGAAGTAGTCTATTAGTGAGGAGAAGAAAGGCAAGATTAAAATAGATAAAAATAATAATATATCAGAAGGTACTTAGCAGCCAAAATAGATCAATAAAGAAAAAGTTATCTTAGAAAGCAGAACAATAGTTGGGTATTAGACATATTACGAAATATGTTTATGGAGACAGAGAAAAATAATAAAGTAAAACTAAATAAAGAAAAAGCTAAAGAGTTAGATAGTATAGTACATGCAAGTCTGGCTGACCAAGTTTGTATAGATAGATTAGAAATAGATTATATTAAAAGACAAGGGTTTAGGATTATTGTAAGAAGTTAATTTTAGATGGACTTAGTAAAAACATAGAATTAGATCAAAATACTTTAATCTTTTATATAGATGGTTTACTTATAAAAAAGAGAGTAGATAAAGAAACAGTATGCAAACAAGGTTTGGGTTGGCTACAAGTTGATGAAAATGAAGAATACAAGATACAAAAAGGGAGCTTTAGTATTAACCACTGCCATCATTAATGAAGGCTAAATTAGCAGCAATATGGGTGGTGTTGCTATCCACTTTGGCAAGAACCAAAGTTAAAATTTATACTGATAGTGCTGCAGCAATAGATGCAATTAGAAAGGGAGAAAGCCTCAAGTCAAATAGAGAGTGGTTAAGACAAAAAAACTATAATTTGCTACTTAAGATTATAAAAACAAAGCATATAAAAAAACTAGAGCTAGAATTAGTTAAAGTCAAAGGCTATAGTGAAAACAAATGGAATGATGAAGCAGATTACTTAGCAAAAATAGGACTTGAAGCACCCAAATTACAGCTGCAAGAAGTAGAGCCAAACTCAAGACTCAAATATAATATTTATTAGCAAAATAAGCTTATTGAAATCCCAACAAGAAAATTTATTAAAAAGCTTGAAAACACGAAAGTTGCAGCAGAGTAGAGAGTATTAAGCTTTATAAATATACTCGAACCAAGAGATGACTTTCAAGAATGGGATTGGAAAGGTTTTTGAAAAAAAATCAAATCACAAAGCAGTATTAGATATATATCAATAAGAAAGAGAAAAAAACTTAACTTCCTAATTAAGTGTTTATATAATAAACTGCCAACACTAAGCAGTCTTGTGAAAAGAAAACCAAATCTGTATAAAGAAAATAATTGCAAGGTGTGTAGACAAAATATAGAAGAGATACAAGACTACTTAGCAAGCTATGAGGCACAAGAAGATCAATAGTTGGAAATCAAGTAAGCAGTAATAGAAACAGTTTAAGCTCTCATAGATGACTCTAAGAAGAAGATAATTCTTCAAGCATATAATCTCCAAAGAAGCCTATTTGGAGAATATTAGAAAGAACAGAAAGATCAAAGAGAAGGTTATATACATGGCCTTTACAAGATTATAATAGTAAAAGATCTTCTGAACCAAAGCTTTTCAAAAGAGAAAGCAAATCTAGCTCTCAATACAACATTGCATATTATGTGGAATGGCTTTCATGAAATTATATAGTAATGGAGATGTGAAAAGGTAATAAACTGGGAACAAAGTAAAGGTATTACAAGACAACAGAAAGTAAAAAAAAAAGCTCAATCACAAAATGAAAGAAAAGTAAAGAAGGAAAAAGAAAAAGCGATAATAGAGAAAAAGAAAACATCAAGCACAAGAGATAGAAAAACATCTGGTTATAAAGGAACTGAAGTACAGAAGGTTAAAGAAAAAAAGATGGATATAGTCAAAATAATAGATGACTTGGTAGAGAAAATGATTTTAAGTAGAATCAAAAAAGGTGAAAAGCCATTTTGGTGTGGCACGTAGGCTGGTTTAACACAGCCTCTAATTTGTAGACTTGTTTTCAAATTAGTGTGGCAGATTGCACTTGGGCACCTATTAGGTAGCTGGGTAATGTCAGGCTTGCAAATTAGAAGTAAATAAGTATATAATTTAGTAGTATACTTAGAATCTTAATAAAGTACTAGCAAAACTGCCTAAGATTAAAAAAATAATAATAATAGTTGGCAAACTAGTCAAGGTTCTAAGATATATCTCTAGTGGTTTGTTAACTTGTTGTTGGATTTGTTTTGATGATCTATGTAGGTTTTGTTTGATTTTTTTATCTCTGTTAGCAAGTCTTTAAAGAAAGTTAATTTTGTAAAATTATAGAAGTAATAAAAATAGAAAAAAGAATATTGTTTATATATAAAAGTTTTAGTAGAAAAGATAAATTTGAGTTTGACATATTGAAGATAATAAGTACAATTTTAATAAATTATAAGGCCTTTAAAAAATATAGATTTAAAATAATTCAATATATAGTTTGCTTTTATAAAAACACAAGAGATATTTTTAATTTTGCAAATTTTGTATATATGATAATATTAAGAGTAGAGATCAATTATAATAGGTGTAGAATCTGTATAGAGAGTAGTAAGTAAGATTTGAGAGATTAGTTAAAATATTTGTTGTAGCTTAGAAATAGATAATTTGAGTAAAATTTCAGTAATTGCATTAAATTGTTTTTTTAAGATAATTGTATTTGGAGAGCTTTTCATTGCTATAGAGCTATTAAGTTGTCTAAATAGTGTAGTATAAGAGATTTGGTAGTGTTTATAGATAAAGTTTGTGTAGAATTTGCCACATAGACAGGTAAATAAAGCTAGTTGGGTAGGTATTTTAAAGTAGTGATAGTGCTTGGCACAATCAAACAAAAATTTGACAGTCAAATACTTGTTAATACTTATATTTAAATCGGATATTAAATGATTGCAGATTAACCAAAGCTAAATATATACTATTGGTTAATTTGCAATAATTTGATGTCTGATTTAATTACAAGTATTAACAAGTATTTGACTATCAAATTTTTGTTTGATTGTGCCAAGTACTAAGTAGTGATATAGTTTATTAAGTTTATAATTAATAGAATTAATATTTTTGAATAAGATATATAAGTTGAGTAGATCAAATTCTTTTGTTCCAATACCAAAACAGTCTGGGTATTTGTTATAAAAGTAATTAAGATCATAAAAGTTAAGATTTTGAGTAGTTAAATAAATATTTTGATAGATTAGATAACAATATTATTAAAGAAGACAAGAAGAGTTTCAAAAAGTAGTAAAATTTGTTTTGTATAATATTACACTATAAATATAACTTTTGTGACTAGTGTGGCTATAGCTGGTGTAGTTGTGGCTAGTATGACTAGTAGTACAAAAGCAGCTTGTATAAGATTGCTAAAAATAGTAAGTAATACTATTTAAATTTGTATAAATTAAATGGAATATAGATTTGTAATTATTTGTTTTGTATAAATTTAATAAAGATTTAAAAAAAAATTTTTAAATAAAATTATTAATTAAATAAACTATTAATTTTAAAGATTTCAAAATGTGTTTGAGGCTGGGTTTGGGTAGAGAGAAAGAGAAAAAAAAAGTAAAAAAGAGAAAAAAAAAAAAAAAGTTATAGAAAAAAGAGTTTGGATTAATTTAACTATAAAATAGTTTTTAGCCATTTGTAATAAATTTTATATTAAAATGAAGCTAAAAGCAAGCTAGAAAACTTTGTTTTAAAAAGCAAGGCTAGTTTCTTTAGCAAAATTTGAGTAAACTCAAATTATAATTATTTGGTGAATAATTATTTAATTTAATTAAAAAAACTTGTTTAAAGCTATAAAACTTGGTAACTAAATTGAGATATAGAACAATAAAATTTAATAAAAAAAGTATATTAAGAGGTGCAGTTTTGAAAAAACTTAAGTTTTGTTTTAGCAAAATTTTGGTACAAGTAATCATTAGAAAGAGTTAGTAAATTGGGTTTGTATAGTATTATTAATTTTGCGTGCAGTAGATTTTAGTAGTTTTTTACTATAATTTTATTAATAGAAAAAAGAAAAAGACAGATATTGTCAAATTTGTCTTCTGGTAATTTTCAATACCACATACAGTATAATACAATCTAGTCAAAGTTAAAAACATAGAAAAAGAAGATAAATTTTATTTATAGTAAAATTATATAAGAATATCAGCAAAATATATAAATATAATCTTATGTAAGAAATTACAGACTGTAATATTGCACAATAATTATGATTAATATGCAATATTGCACAATA